CCTGCCGCCACGGACCAGGAGCCAATAGTAAACATTAGGACACACAGTGACAAGTTAAATGAGACCCGGTTAAGCAGTTGATTAAAAGGACAACCATAATCAAAGGTTACAGAGGACTAAGTATTGCTTTTCTCCTTCGATTTGGTCACCCACCTGCCAAATCTGTACTGGGAGGGGCGTGCAGGAGAGCCTGGTGTCAGCTGTGGCAACGTGCGTAGGCTGGGGTGTGAGCAGGCTTAGTGAGGCGAGTTAGGCACCGGGAATGTGCGCAGGGAACGCAGAGGGAGCATGTATGGAAACCCACAGTCTTGGCCCCAGCCACCGAGGGGGGCAGCGGGGCCGTCACGAGGAGCAGCTGTTTGTTCCCCGCTCGCCATCCCGGTTTCTTCTTCCCACTGGGTCAGGCGGAGAGGGACGGGCTCTGCTCGGCGTGGGCTCGCAGAAGCGCTGCGATGTCCCCGTGGGCAGCACGCTGGGCCAGCGACAGGGCCGAGTTACCGCCCTGCGGGGAGGGAGGAGACAAAGACGTTACCGCCCGAATCACTGCGTCTCGCACCGGCCACCCCTGTGATAAGCCCAGCTCCGTCCTCAGCCACCTCCGCTCCCGGCCCCACCACCAAGGGAGCTGATGTCAACCTGGCGACGCGCTCTCCTCCCCTCTCCAGCGAGGGGTTGGCCAGGGCAGCTTTGTGCCCAGCTATTCACCCCCAGAACCTCCTCCCCTGCACTTCATCCCTTGTTTAAAATGAGACACCGTCCCACAAACCCCCATGGTGTTCTGGGGCTCAACCTCAACCACATAAAACTCACCCTGGCTGCACCTTCCCGATGTCAACCTGGCGACGCGCTCTCCTCCCCTCTCCAGCGAGGGGTTGGCCAGGGCAGCTTTGTGCCCAGCTATTCACCCCCAGAACCTCCTCCCCTGCACTTCATCCCTTGTTTAAAATGAGACACCGTCCCACAAACCCCCATGGTGTTCTGGGGCTCAACCTCAACCACATAAAACTCACCCTGGCTGCACCTTCCCCCCGGTGCGGTGCTCTCCCACATGTCGTAGACATGGCAGGGGGCGGTGGGGGGGTTA